GTGTGTGATGAGTGGTGTGTGATGAGTGGTGTATGATGAGTGGTGTATGATGAGTGGTGGTTGAACAGCTGTTGAATGTCCGTAACACGCATGTTTTGCACACTAAGCTTCCTTTGACTAGTATATCATGAGTACTCATGGAGGACAGGTAAGGAACTGTGTGGGTGTGACACGGCCTGCGAAAGTCTGTGAACGGGCACATAGGCTATCTACATCATCATATATAGTATGATAACAGTGGTTGCAGCACCAGTAGAAATAGGAGTATTGTAGGAGGAGGAGGAGAAGGAGGAGGAGGAACAGTAGTAAGGCGGAGTAGTAGCAGTAGTAATAGTAGCAGTAGTAGGAGTAGTAGGAGTAGCAGGAGTAGCAGTAGCAGTAGCAGTAGCAGTAGGAGTAGTTGGAGTACTAGTAGTAGTAGTAGTAGAAGTAGGAGTAGGAGTAGGAGTAGTAGTAGGAGTAGTAGTAGTAGTAGTTAGTAGTAGCAGTAGTAGTAGTAGTAGTAGTAGTAGTAGTAGTACTAGTAGTAGTAGGAGAGCAGGAGAAAGAGCTAAGAGTAGAGGGGTGGGGGTGGGATGTAATGCACGTGGTAGTTGCGGTGGCAGTTGATGTAGTCGCCCTTTGCCCATACGCAGGTAGCCACTCTGGTCACCTCACCAAGACAGTGGTTACTGGAGTGACACAACATGAAGGGCCGACTTACTACCATCACCTTGGTACCGTGCCTTATCATCATATCCACCACATCCATCACTACCACACCTACCACACCCACAGCTATGCGAACTACGACAACAGCGATGGTCTTTCAACTGTCACTGGGCATACCCTCAGTCCTTTAGTTGATACATGTTTCGTACCTTGTCATTGTGTTTGTTTCTGCACTTTACCGACTTGGGTCCAGTGAGCAAGTAGCGAACAGCCAAGGTGATACACTCCAATTCAGGAGACCATAGCTGCAGAATAAGTTGTTGTCGATGTGACAGTGACGTGCTAACTCGATTACATTGGCTTTCTTGCATTTAGTGCATGTATTCTCAGCTGTTCAAAGGGCATGAACAGAGCAATGAAGAACACTGAACATGCTGACTATGTCAATATGATCAATATGTTGGAATATGATGTCGGACAACTTGTTGCAGCTTAACTGAACTAAACATGTTGTTGGTCATCATAGCAGCCACGCAGAAGCTGCTGTCATGAAACACTAGTTCTTGGATTGCTGTTGTGCTTTGCATCATGGGATTCTTGATGACAATCATAGACCACATTATTCAGTGGTCGGCTCCATTCCTTTTGCATCCTTTTGCCAAACCTAAGTCTTGAGCTTCCTGTGTGAAAGGGCTCGGAGCGGGCACGAAATGCAACATCAAGTCACCTGCTCAAGCAATGTTGACACGAGGTGACACTCTGAATGGCATCGGATCTGGGTACACTGGCTCCACAAGTGGAAGCTTTGGAACAGGAAGCTTCGATACAGACACAGGCCTGAACATGATAGGGGACTTTTGCAAGAAAAGAAGCTATTGTCGTTGCTGTTTAGGCTTGGAAGGCAGAGTCAATGCAAGACGGATGTGTGCAGACTTAAGATGAATCTTAGGAAATTGTTTCTACAAACGAAAGTCTCTAGCTGAGGCAGCCTGAGCGACGCCTCGTGGCACGGAGGTGATTTGACCAATGAGGCACGGGGCCCCGAGCGTTGAAGTAGAGCGGGAAATTGTTACTAGTAGCGATGCCCTTTGCTCCTAGTAGCGTCCTTGCTCCTAGTAGTACGGCCAGGAGCCCCCTAGTAGCGTTCTTGTTCTTAGTAGCGATGCCCTGTTACTGCGTGAGGGTGCAGTTTTGTGTGATAGACCTGGCCTGTCGCATTCCTGCAGGATGTGATGGCACCAAGGCGACTACAGGCCATTGCAGCTGAAGCACTTCCTAGTGGCGCAAGCATTGCTGGCCACTACGTTGATGGAAGCGACGCAAGCATTGGGCAAAGTCATTACATCGATGGCACTGGTGGTGCGACCAGAGTCATTCATTCCAGCTATGCAGATAGTGCGGATAGTGGCACAGCTAGCAGCTACGCGGATGGAATCCTTCACGGTGGCCACTATGTTGATAGTGCTTCTACTGGCATCCATGATGGTCAGTACACTGATGGTAGCAGCTCGCTTAGCTCCTTGGGCGACCTCGTCCATGAAGGTCACTATGGCAGCAGCTCTGGGCAAATCCTTCATGATGGTTGGAGCACTATCCATCCGGAGGCCACATCCCATAGAGTGGGAATGATGCTACTAGTAGGAATCACACGGGTGCTTCTTTTGTATTTGGGAAGATGTTCAGATGATTTCCTTCAGTTACGATCACTTGTGTCCGATTTAGTAGAATCATGCAATCCCCAGTTAGATTGGGCTGAGATGACTACTCCTTTGGCAAAGGCAAAGGGACCAAGTATCACGTAAATGGAGTCGCTTGCATTTGTCCCTATTCCAGGAGCATGTGCACCATGTGCATGTGACACACTACACAGTTCCTGCTCCTGTCCCTCAACCTGTGGAGCCGCAAACTCACGTGCACGAAGTTGTGCGCCGCCACTATGGAACCGTCTACAGGACAACAAGCTCTTGCATTCGGGGTAGCAAGTCATTTGCAGGTCAGGACTCTGAACCATTGGAGGGCCGCGCATCATACATTATGATGAGTCATCACATGTCATAGTCATCACACCTCTGAGGCCGCTGGCATATACTGACATAGATATTCAATGAGATTCATGAGGCGGACTGGTGTGTTTTGCCTTGTAGACTAACTTGTAGAGCTCGCGCTGCAGGAAAGTGCCAGTGAACCACTACGTGTCGTGACTGCATCAGAAATGAGAAGGGGACCGTTGCCAGTCAAGTCCCCCGCAGAGAAAAGAAGGACAGCAAACTGCAGCAGCAGAACGGTGTGGAAGATTTGATTTAGGGGTGCTGTGCGTAGCAAGAGGCACAACCACCTGAAAACCAATCAGACATACTTTGCGATCCGATGCGCTTCTCATTTACAAGCAAAATGGCCAGACTATGCAAGACTCAATTTGTTGCTGCTCTTGCCCATCGGGGCTGGATGGCTTAACCCCATGTTGCCACAATGAGGTCCATGTGAAGATGCCCCAGCAGCCTCCCATCGTCCACACTGTGAAAGTCATGGTCAGGGACCTGGTTCCAGATGCTAACGTAGTCATCACAAGCATTTTCAAACCACAAAAGGCCTTCGAGGCATGCACTAGCATCGTCTAGAGTCCAGAGAAGACTATGAGAAGACCTTTTGTCCGGATGACCCTGAAGGGCAAAAGATGACGAAAGCTGTTGAGTGAAGTCAAATCCATTTGATTTAGCATATAAGGCGTACAAATTCTTATATGATAATGGCAAGACCTACATGAAAGCCAGAGCAGGGTGTGCACTTGAACAGAGATTCTTCCGATTGCCCCGCCCCAGGCTCCTGCAAAAACATACTCTTGCAACGGCGTTGGCGATCAACCAGATCCAAGCTGGAGTGACAAGCATACCCGGTGGTGCTGCTACAAGTATGGCACGGCGCGGTCAGGGTTACATTTTGTTGCATGAGTATTATTTGCTAGTGTTGGCTTTGCAAAGGGACTGCTACAGATAAAGGCACGGTGTGGAGGTTGTTGTTGAAAAGTCAACAGTCTTACGCCAGCTCAGTGCCTGTTGGGCCTGTTCTGGGGGCAGACCTCTTTTGTCCACAAACCTTTTTTCAGGTTTCGCTTGATGGGAGGATGGATTAATATACTTTATGCAACTGACTGAGCAACAGTGCCTTTGGTGAAAAGACGAAGGCATGGCAGACTTGTCCAGTCAGCGGGAATTGTCGGCGGTTCTGGTGTTGGGGTTTTACAACAAAAACTATTCTGTGTCGGGCACACCTGTAGCATTGAGCCATGCCGTTCGCGATTGCTTCGCGATACTTGCGCCGGAAACGCTGCGCCAGTTCTGCCCGAAAACTGTGATCGACAAGAATATCTACCACACGGTCGTCAAGAAGCAGCAGCTTGTCGCTCTAGGAGGTGGTTCTTTGCTCGCATGATGAGATGATGAGCGGTTCTTTGAGCAACACAAAAAATATTGATCGTGCATGATCATGGCCTCAGAGTGGTTCTTTGATCATGATTTTAAGGGATTTTAAGGGCATGTTTTATGAACATGTTGAATACATATATATATATATATTATATTTATATGTATATATATATATCGATATACTGTATATATAATATATATCGAGATATATTTCAATATGTTTTTCCATGTTGTCCTGGAGTCTTGACGAATATGAGGCCGGTGAAGGTACCTGTGCCCGAGCCGATGCCCACTCATCCTCCTGTTGCTTGGCTGACATGTTGAAAGTGCAGAAGAGAGTATACTGTATACTCCACGCTTTGGCTCGTGGAGTTCTCATTTCTCAAAAATGACACTGAACCACCTGGGGTTCTTTCCCGGCGATCTGGTGGTTTCAGTGTGCAATTGAACCTTCATTTGCTGCTTCTTCGCTGAGATCGTCAAGACCATTCACCACACCTACCATGTGCCGAGCCCACCTCGGTATGTCCATGTACCGGTGCCTGGACCCACCGTGGTGAAGAACGTTTGGAAGCCCAGCGCAAGAGAATTGCTCGGCCAAAGGGAAGAAAATAGGGAAGGCCTCTGAGCTCGACATTGGTGTGCGGTGTGCAGTCCAAAATTAAGGTAAGCCTTATTTTAGTAGGTACGTAAGTAAGCCTTACTTAAAAGCACTCAGGTAATCTACCTTTTCATAGGGAGGCCTACTTTCCAGCTTTCCTTCAATTTTTCTTACTTTTGGCTTGGTAGTACAGTGTGGAATCTCTGCGGCAAGACGGAGCTCCTACCCCCAAATACCATGATTTTCAATGAGTGACTGCTGCAGAGTTGTTATTTGGAGCGTATCAAGAGTTGCTCTACCCACCCAGATGCCTGAATTCTCATGAATTCTCAATAACTCTCCGTCCTTGAGGAAGCTTGGGGGTTTGAGCTCCTCCAACGCTTTCATTTGCAATGAATCTGGCTGCGCTTTTGGTGTCACACTTTTCGGCGGCCCTTTTGAGGTGGTGGTGCCGGAAAACGTGCCGGTGCCGGTGCCAGAGCCGCCTCAGGTGACGGATTTGGACGGTCTAGGGTTCGCTGCAGCAGGCACGAGGTACTAGTTCTCCTTGTAGCCTTTAGCAGGTCCTCAAAGGAATTACGCTGAGGTGTTTCTTCAGTCCCTTTGCAAAAGATCCATGACAAGGTCCTCAAAAGTACATGTTGTGAAAGATTTGGGTCCCTTCATGCAACGTTGCACATTCCATCTACATGTTACATGCTCTTTCGGAACACCACCACCAGCGATGGGTTTCGGCTCCACACCACTGGAGGTGATCAACGTGAAGAAACCCTACACAGTGCATGTGCCTGGCAAAAGTCCTTTGTTTGCAATTTCAGCCGCTGACTGAAAAGGTAGACAAGGTAGGCGCTTCAAACATCTTCAAGCCATATTCCACTGTGTAACCTAGACTCTAGACAGTCTTATGAGTCTTATTCGAAGAATTTGAATCAAACGACGCCTGAAACTGAAGAAATGTATGCTGCGTTTATGCAGCTGGACTTCCTGGTCTTTGCTACACCTTTACATGAAATTCTTGAAGTTTGGCCTCGATGTCATGACCCACCGGGTCATTCCGTTCGTGTTTGACCCAGACCGCGCACCGGTCCTTCGCTCAGACCACTACGTTCATGTGCCGGTCCCTTCGCCGCCGCACATCGTGACAAAGTACCACACCCATTGGAACACGGTGGTGGATCACGGTGACACCGCGACCTACGACGCTGTTTGTTTCATGAGTGTATGATTTGTTTCTTTTTCGATTCAAAGGATTAGCATAGGATGGGGATGACATTGACATCTCTTGAACTTGAACATGTCCAGATTTCAAAGAATGCTTGCTTTTTATATAGATCTTTTTAGTTTTTACCTTGAAATGATTGAATGGAAGACCTTCGATGTATATATATATATATATAGATAGATGTTGTTTGTTCTCGTTTGTTCTTTATTTGAGTGGATTGCTTCGAGGAGATTCGATCGATTTCTAGCTGAATCACAGCTGTGTCCCAAGGACTGTCATGCTGGCTTTAGCGACTGGCACTCGCTTTGGTCACATGCCAAGTCCCTCGGACCTGAGTGTGCCATCCATTCCACCCAGCTGGCCGACAACAATTATATAGTGGATTGTAGTTGTATTTTCTTGCTCATTGAGCAAATTGGAGCTTTGAAGATTTTCCCGGTGATCTTCATGATCTTTCTGTCATGCTCATGCACCATTGGTCGACTGTTTCTGGAAATTCCAGACCGAGTTCGCCTCTGAGGCAACGCTGGTGCTGCAGCAACAAATTTGTTGGCTGCCCCGGGAGTTGGCATGGTGCAATTGCCCACACAACGCACGTGACCCACGTTCACCACATTCACCACTATCATTCAGGCAGCTACCCAGGTGGATGGCACTCTCATTCCTGGAGCTCATCGGATGGCTACCATCCCTTGAAGAAATGAGGGAAGGAACGAATCTTGGCGGCCACTGTGTCGGGATCCGTCATACGAATCCGTCGGCCTGTGTCGGCATGTCGACTGGCATGTCTGTCGGAGTTTTTGCTTGGCTCTAACAGTGCTATCCATGGTTTCAACATCTGCATGTCTTGGCTTCGACATTGGACTTGTGCGGTTTTTGACTACAGAACTTGAAGTCTTGACAAGGCTCGGGAAGTTTATTCCAACACTGTGAAGCATGGGGCTCCGGTGAAAAAGGCCGTAGAGTCGCAACCATGAGGTGTCTATGAGCGTGGTCTGCCCGTGCACCTTTGAAGTTCTCTCTGGAAATTCCAGATCCTGCACGGAAGATGTGAAGTGCAACGAAGCCCGGGTCTCAAGGAGGAGGGGTGACCTGACAGTTCACAAGGCAATGGTTCGTGCGTGCTAGTGCCAGGGGAAAATCAGGAAGCATCTGAGAAATTTTTAAGTAATCCATCACCATACAATCATACAATATACTGGCTCATTCATTCATCAATGTGTGCTTTCCAACTTCCCAACCAAGATCGCACCGGAGTTCGACTGTGGACCTGCTGAGCGGTTGCGGGCCCCTGAGCGACTCCCCAGAGTTCGATGGAATGTTCGTCATGTGAACCAGAAAGCTGCAAAGGGTAGCTGTCAATTTTTTTCAAAACATATAATGTGAGATCCGTATTAATAAGGGAAATCAATCTCTCCACGGCCTTTTTTTTCTTTCCACCGGGGGTCCGTATTTGTAATCTCCTCCGGAGTTCATTTCATTTGGCTTTCATGGTGCTTTCATTTGCTTCTGTGAGTATGCAAACGAATGTCCAGTCATTATTTTTGTACTGATCCTTTTCGGCACTTTGTACTGGATCATGATTATTAATCCGGACCCCAAACCACGATTTTTGGACGAATAATAACTTAAGTTTGATCTTGATTTTCTGGAACATGTTCATTTTTTAAATATGGACTACCTGCTAATAACTCATCTAACATTACATTGCATATGGGAGTTATCCAAAAGGTCCTTGTAAGGGTTTTTAATGTCGAGAGCCTTGGATGACATGATCGTGGGTCTCGCGAAAGTTTTTTTTCGAGTTCGCGAATGTTAATGTTTTTTTCGCGAAAGATTCGCGAAAGTATGTTTTTTTTCAGCAGCTTCAACTTTGGAATCCGTGTGAAGCTTCCTTCCTGTTTCATGTAGTCCACCCTATGTTATGTATGCCGTAAAAGCCTCCAAAGGACAGGGATTATTTCGCCAAAGTTTCGCGAAAGTCTGGCGAAGGTTTCGGCGAATGAATCGGCTCCAGAGGAACCCCGTAGCCCATAGCAACCCCACAAACTTCATCATCCAACGTCCTTGTGCAAATGCTTTCTCTAACAACATGTGCCAACGAAATTCTGCTCCAACACCACTTTCCTGTCTGTAGCATCCTCCTGCTGAACCAAAAACACTCCGTGCACTTGTATTTAAAAATCGAGTCCCTACCAGGTTAAATGGTTTCATGACATGGTGAACCCCCGCGAAAGAAAAACACAGGGTTCGCGAAAGTTTCGCGAATGTTAATGTTTTTTTCGCGAAGAATGGCCGTTTCAATAAACAATAATATTGGACAACCACCATATACTGAACACTCCTGGTAGAGACCTATAGTGTCTCCTATTTTAATGCCAAGAATCACTGAGCCCATATACTTTGTGTCAATTCATTTCAGAAATTTCAATTCAGGTCAAGGAATGTTTGTATGAGGATATCTAAAATATTGTAAAGTTTATATGTAATGTATTGTAATGTACACTATATAATTGTTGTCTCCTCCGTTCTACTAACTCGCAACGCATTCTTCTCTGTGAATGCCTTTCTGGTACAAAGGGGATGGAAGCCAGTGATAGGGGATGGACGCGCGGGGTGAGAGCCATTGCGCACTTCAAGGCCAAAGAGCCAAAGTGCCTTCAAGTGCCATGAAATATTGTCCCGATTGTGCCGCATAGCCCTTATTCAACAATATATTGTTTAATGAAGTTTAATGTTGATTTCAGCACACTTGTGTCGCAGAGATCATCGCAATTGGATATATGGGTGTCCATGAGGCACATAGTTACATAGTTTGAAACAATTCGCTTTGAAACTGGGAACTCCGCAATCTTGGCCGGGTTCCAATGGTGCACCCTCAGACTGCTCGACCTCATGGTCTCTACATTTGTGAGTGAGTTTTGTAGTGTCCAAACTGTCCACCATCATGAGCATCCATGCAGATATACAATATTCAGACAAACATTTGACCGAAAGACTTAGTATTCCGTGTTGGCTGCTCACAGTTTTACCAAGGAATCAGAGGGCAACCTCGGAGCAGCAAGAGCCTAGGGGGCAAGGTGAGGGGAATCTGGTGTTAACGCAACCTCCAGCAATATTTACACGAGCAATGAACAGAGCCTTTTGCTATTTTTGCTCACTTGTAGTTGCAGCTCATTCCACATAGCTACGAAGATCACAAGCAGAGCACTCTTATATGTATATAACTATATATAATATATATTATATATAGACGTTTATTATTTATATATTTAATAGTCTGAATGAATATGAGTCAATGTGTGTCTAGAACTTGCGCCGTCCCTGCAGGCTGTAGTCTGTCCAAGCCTGGATCATTGTGGGAGAGAATCTTTTTTTGTGCTTCTATCTATTTGTGCTCGTGTACTTACTCTTGCACGACGGATCACACACACAACGCCACTCGATGTTCATCGTAGCTTGTCAGACCAGGACGGCAGAGACCAGTGGGGGGACATCGATTGTTCCAGTCGCCGGATTCTTGACCAAAGGGTCAAGATTGACTACTGCGCTCGACTCTGTCCAGAGTGGACATACATTGCCCTCGGAAAGGCGCCGATGTGTTACTGGTGAGTGAACGTACTGGTGTCTAGTCCCTATTGACCCTTGCCACGAAGGTGGCATAGATTATATATGACCATTCCATTGTTGTCCTTGCTCTTTCCTTGCAGCGTTCAGCACAAACCTGGCAAAAGTCCGAATCTTATTGAGATTCAGCGCCATGGTTGCTGTTGCAGGAGGAAAGCACCACGGCGCAGACATTAAGTCCACAATTCCAGTATTTGCAAACAGGGAGCTGATACTTGCTGATAGTGCATGTTTGCCTGCTTTTGGGGGTGGAGGGAATGTGAGAGTCGTGTTTGGGTAGGGCTCCGCGTGGTCCTGAGTTGTGTGTGCGGGGGGTTAAGCTTACACAAAAGACAATGAGCGTATGTAGTCTTTACTTCTGCAATTCGGAGGGGTGGGCTTGCAAACACAACAAATGACCCGGAGAAAACTTTGCTCTGATTTACTTTTGAGCCATTACTAACTGTGTTGTCAAAAACACAACCGCAAAGACGTGACGTACGCCAAAGCTCAAACACACCCACGTACACCGAGGGCAGTAGTGATTGCCGGCGGCGGAGGCGGTGGCGGCGGCGGCGGCGCCGCAGGCGCAAAACGCATGTGGAGTGGGTATGAAGATCACATGAGCATCCGACAAAATCTGCGAAGACTAAAGCAGTCACACGGTGGACATGGTATGAACATTTGCGCGACATCTGCATAACTACTGATGGGGGGCCGACCCATTCTAGGCTATCTCCTTATGCTAGATACAATATTTTTCCGGCACTCACATATTGGTTATGATGGAACGGCCGTTTCGATATTTCTACTTCTGAATATTGATGCTCCTTGATCATGCTTCTATACGTCTCTGATTCTAATAGTTATTCGTTTGATTTTGCAATGGCTGTCAGGACAGCCCCAAGATCTTTACCAAACAGTCGGTTGTGTCCTGCCATTCGATGCTCCCCGATTCTGGCTAGCTTGAGGATTTGCTTGCTGACTTGGCACCTTACAGAATATTGCTGAAATACAGCAGTGAGACACGCACACACAGTGTGACGCAACATTTGCACAGGCAGCGTTGACGGCTGTGGTCCCTTGGCAAAGAAGGAGTAGTCAGCTTTTTGTGGGCACCTAAAACTGTGGCAAGAAAGGACGAAATGTGTCAGGTTAAAAGGCTAGGTCCTGTTCGAGCTCAGCACAAAAGCAACTTCTCGTGGTGAGTCTTTCTTAGGGCACCCTTTGAAATGCACTTCTACCGTCTATTACCGTCTCCTTTTATGTGTGGTTGATTTTGCGTGTGTATGGATTTTGGGGGGCCAAGCGTCTGTACTGATTCTTCGTGGCAAGCGATTACTTTTAAATGTCGTATCATGCTGTCTGCGCAGAATGACGAATCCACGGTTCCCCCATGCTGCTGATGTATGCATAAGCTTACGGACGCGTGGGAATCAATGTCTGCAAAGTGACCAGCAAGACTCCTAGGTCCTAGACCCAAACCCAGACATGGCTGATTTGTGCGATTGGAACACGGAGCTTGCGCAGAGATTGTGCCAAGGTGCTTGCTGCTGCTCAGCTGTCAGTGAGGGAACGTTTGAGAGGGCATCGACAGGGCAGCGTGAAAGACTGACACCTGCTTAAGTGTCCCGAGTGTGTAGGTGGAGATTTCCAGGGTGTTTCGGATCAGTTCATCGATGTTTATCGTCATAGGCATAGGTATAATATATAATATATATAATGTTATTATAGATGGCACCACGACTGGAGCTTCTGAAGAGTTGAAAGTCTGCCTCTGAGAGCTGACATGTTCCAAGGCTTGCTGCTTTGAAAGGATGGACTTGTCGCTGAGGCTTTGAGGCTGATCCGGATGCAGTGAAGACTGAAGAGCGCTGGGCCCGGACCCCAGATTTAAAATCCAAGACATGCAACTATTGTTTAGTTGCACCTGAACCGGTATATATATATTCTTCCTGGCAAGCTCAATAACCCAAAATCGCCCATGAAAGATCGTGTCCGTTCGTGGCCCACGCTGAGGTGTATGTGGGGCAAGGTGCGGTTCACGATTGCACATGTGATTGGTTCAAAATAATGCAGTTTTGGAGCGGCAAACATC